TAGAAAATGCGCAGGATTTCGAGGGTATGTCTATTCACCAAAAATTATTGTAATCGACCCTCGGAACTGAAAATAATTTTTCAGAACGATTTGAAATTTTTGAATTTAATTGTTAATAACTTTTTAACGAAGCCTCCATCAACAAATTAATATTCTTAATTTTCGTCTTATTTTGGCCTCTAGAATCCCCCACTAAAATTTGTCCCAAGGGTGGCCGAGCACCCTGTATACAGAGTGCATGCCCTATTGCACCATTATACCAGTTTCGCTTGTAGGTAGCTACGGCAGTGCCGCGCCGAGATAGGCAAGCGATGGCCGCGTGGCGGTCAAACGTCGTGCAACGCGTTGGCAATACACATTTTCTCGACCTGTGACAATTGAGAACGGCTTCTACACTTCTGTTGGACAGTTCCTTCTTCAAAAATGTCTGCAGAATCAGATCCTGTGCATAGATTTCGTGTCAGGTAAAGAACTTTCCGTAAATATACAAAAGTGTTGTGTATAAAGTACGTACTTCGACACTTTTTCAAACTTTGGCGATCATTTACAACCGTTCAAAAGTACAAAATATTCTAACTATCGATGTTAGCATATTCAGGAATCTCTCCTCTATCTTTTAAGATTAAGTGGAACTGTCTAATGTTTCTAATTTTCGCGTAATACCTCGTTTTTGCCCAAAATTGGACGTTTTCACAAAAACTCGTGTTTTTCGAAAACTGAGGGTGATACAGCAATTCCATTTTCACATTCGTGTTTACGAAACAGAGCTCTACAAGAATCACCTAGTGGGTACGGAAAAACAAAATTCGTGTTGAACAGTGTTATGTTCACGCTAAAATAATTCTGGCACACCGGGTGCCGGTTTCAGAAACAGAATTATGTACTTGTTTGTGTCATTGACGGTATACCAAATAGAGAACTGCAAACACAAGCAATAGCGCGTTTTGTTTAGAATGACGCGGAGGTATTTGTTTTGTACAATTTGGATACATGTGATGCTGCGGTGCACCATACTGGAGCGCCGTACGTGAGAATGGGGCGGATACAGGTTTTGTAGAGCCGGATTTTTAGTTCTGTGGGAAGTGCACTATTTCGTGCTAGGAGTGAGTATAGAGTGTGGAGTGCCCCGATGCCTTTGCAAGCCCTATCTTTGGAGTTGTGTTGCCATTTTAGCTTATTATCGAACCACCTGCCCAGGTATTTAACTTTAGTGGACCAGTTAATGGGGTGCTTGTCTATTGTGAGAGTGTCAGGGTTGTGGAGTCTTTTGGGAGTGAAGATAATAGCTTCTGTTTTTGTGGGGTTTATTGTCAGCTTCCAAGTGGAAGTGAATTGTAAAATATGATCGAGGTGGTTTTGAGTGTATTTAATCGCCTGGTTTATTTTCCACGTGGAGGAGTATACTGCGGTGTCGTATGCGTAGGGGGCTAGTTTGGTGTTGGGATTTTTGGGGATGTCGTTTATGAATATATTGAATAAGATGGGTCCCAGGACTGATCCCTGCGGTACCCCAATATGTAGTAATCTGGGAGAGCAGTGGGAGTTGTGCGAGACTGTAATGTATCTGTCAGTGAGGTAGCTGTAAACTATTTTGATTAGGTGTGGGTTGAGGTTAATTTGGTGAAGTTTAAGGAGGAGGCCATTGTGCCAGACGAGGTCGAAGGCCTTCTGGAGGTCTAGGAGTACTAGGACCACCGAACGGTTCTTGTTCACCTCCAAGGCAATATCTTCCTGGAGCCGTAGTGCTTGTTGGATGGTGGAATGTTTAACTCGGAAGCCAAATTGCTCATGTATAATGATGTTGTTGGATTGGAGATGTGTGATGACTTGAGAGAGTACTATTTTTTCCAAGATTTTACCAAGTATGCTCAGTAAGCTGATGGGTCTATAGTTATTTGGATTTAGGCGGGATTTCTTGGGTTTGGGAAAGGGTATGATATGTGCTGTTTTCCAGGTAGCGGGAAAATATGTTAGAAGATAGGACTGTCTGTAGATATAGTAGAGCTGGAGGATCATTCTGTGAGGAAGGTGCTTGAGTTGGCTGGCAGTGATTTTGTCAGAACCCGGCGATTTTTTATTTTTTAGGTTTCTGATGTAATTATGGACAGGTTGGGGGTGATGAACGAAGGGTTTGGTGGTGTAGTGTTGAGGTTGGTTAGTATGCTGACAAGCTGTTCAGCATCACGTTCTGTAGGAGAATTGTTGTGGGAGATAGGAGGGAGATGAAATGCATCGGCAAGGAGTTTGGTCTTGTCCGTATTGGTGTAGGCTGTGGTATTGCCCTCGGTAAGCGGCGGGATGGTGTGTTTGGTCTGTTTGAGGGTTTTGTAGGTAGTCCAGAGCATGTTGGGATTGGCTGCTATTTTGGAGAGTTTGAGATGTCATGAGGTGTTCTTTAATTCTCGGATTTTGGATTGTATTTGGTTGGTAAGGGAGTTTCGGGGGTGTCTGTGTAAAGGGTTGGCTGAATTCTGATATTTGCGCATGTACCTGTTGCGCAGCTTAATGATATTTAGGAGTTCTATGTCCGGTTTGATTGTTCTATGGTAGGCGTGTGTAGTGGTGGTTGCTCTTTTGTAGTTCTGTTTGATTGTTTTTTGAATCTTGGTGATTTCTCTGTCTATGTCGTGTGTGGTATTTAGATGAGGATTAATGGGGTACTTGTTCCCCTGGGAGCGGTATAGGTGCCAGTCATTCGTGGAGAGGGCACAGTTGGTAAATTGGGTGCAGTTGTTGGTGTGGTGGAGTATTATTGGGAGATGATTAGAAGGGAGGTCGTGGATTGTATGGCATTCCGAGTAGTGTGGCGAGTTGGTTAGAAATATGTCTATGTTGGATGGTCTGGCATGCGGTTCTTTGTGGGACTAAGTGTCGCTGCTGGCTATATCACCCCCGATGATGAATTTTTGGTTGTGCGAGGTTAGGATATTGAGGTCGTGCTGGGAGAAACGTTTGTTTGAGGGGAGATCGGCTACTCCGAGAGTGATTTTTGGGTTGGTGGTGAGTTGAATGAATATGCCCACTAGACTGTCCAGGAAAGGTTGGGAGAGAATGTTAAATTTGTGGTTTTGGTGGATGATGATGGCTACTCCTCCATGTGGTGTGAGTCTGTCATTCCTGATTATATTATAGCGGGTTAAGCGGATGGAGTCAGTAGGTTTCAACCAGGTTTCTGTGATTAGAGCTATTTGGATTTGATGGTGTTCTAGGAAGATTTGGAGTTCTGAGGTTTTGTTTAGAATGCTAGTCGCATTCCAGAGGAGTATTTTGGGGGGTAGCTTAGCCATTGATGAGTTCAGCGGCTTCAAGAAATGCTAGGAGTTTTTGAACTTTGGTTTGGCATGGGCTGAGTTTGGTGTACAGGAAATCTAGGGCTGTTGATATCTAAGATATCATTTATGGCTTTTTTTTTTCTTTTTTTTTTTGTCGTGGGGAAAATCTTCAAAAGACTCCCTCCCACCTCTTTGGGGAGAGGCGTGAGGGGTGTGTGGGATTCCCCGCGTTCATGGAATAACGGGCGCGAGACCTACCCACTAAAAACCCCACGGTGACCCTTCCGCACGATTTGAGAGGATACCGGGAATCGCTCGAAGCATACTTCCGGTATCCTCCCCAACCCGCGCTTTGCGCCCATCCACGGGGGGACAAACGGTCCCTCAGGCAATCACCCTGTCTCATAGCGGCAGGACGAGGCCACTTGGCCCCCACCACCCCCGCGCGAAGGCCAGAATGCACGCCTGTACGGGATAGTGAAGACCACGTGCCGGCGGTGAACAGCAGCAACAAGATCACGTCGGGGTCACCAATTGTAGGAACATAGCCTACTATATGTACGATGTGTTGTCGAACAATTGAATAAACACTGTGGTATGTCCAATATGGACGTGGAAAACAAAACTCTTTATTTTTTACAAACTGTACATGCGTCTGTTCCCAACGAGAGCGGAGAAACAGCAGACACAGCAATACTCTTCTCTTTCGGGCGCCACCGTGCGCAGCAGCGCTGCCAACTCCTAGGCGTATGATCGCCCTAGGCGCGACCTAGGGGAAATGGCGATGCTGGTGCCATATTCCCTGCAACTATGCAGTGATGCCAGAAAAGCACCGTCGGGTGCACACTCCCACATGCTAGATACGCGTACGTGAGTTCGTGGAGTTTCGGAAAGACGACAAAGGCAAACTGACGCATGCCCTCTTTCTCGATTCTCCGAAGCTGCCCGAAGTAATTTCGGACCGCTTCGTGGGAGTCGAGAGAGAAAGGCTCACATTTGCCTTCTCGCTCTTAACAACTGAAATCCGACCTCCAGTCAACGGCATACGATTTGGATTCTCGAGCCGAGATTCTCGACTGCCCAGGCATTTTTACTTTCCCACCTATGTAGGCGCACATAAGCAAAGTACCCATAATGAAAACAAAATTTTGTAAAATTTATTTTACGGAAATACACGTTTTAAGACCTCCTGATCATATTTTAATTATTGAAAAAAAAGAAATTTTTTTTTATTCCCATGTATGAGCACACATATGTATATTATTAATACGATTTTTGAAAATCAAAATACTTTAAGATTGAAAATTAATAAATTAAAATGAGATTCCACTCTTTACCAGTATTGTGCACGTTGTGGTATTTTTCAATAAGAAGAGTTCTTACTTTTATAACATAAACAAAACAGTAGAATTAATAATTGCAGAAATTAATTAATAATGATTTTCCTCGATTGTTTTGAAATAACCGTATCAATTGGTTATGACGAACTAAATAGAACTAACTAGAAACAAAGGAAAAGTGATCCCGTTTGCCAGTTTAATACAAAGTATGGGTTGTATCTTAAATTTTAAAAGCACATAGTCGAATATTTTTAAAGGTACAAAACATAGCGTTTCATTGTAGAACAGTAACATAAGTTAGCAGGTAATGTCATAAAACTGTTTTTCCCAGCTATATCCCTTTTTACCTGAAGTATAAGGTAAAAAGTACGAGCTACAAGGTACGACTATCCGAAAATCGTTCACATTTTATCAATGTAAATGAAGCGGCCTTCAGACATTTCATGTGATACGATATTGAAAATAGAAAAAAGTTATAAGGGTATTTAAACAAATTACTGTTACAATGTTGACAAAATATAGCCATATATGTGTATTTGCATCACACTCTTTTCCAATGTCATATTAATATCTACACGTATCGGATACATCTTTAATGACACCTTTCTTTATTAGATAAAGGACGAATACTTTCTGCCAATCACGCACAGCAATTTGTACTCTAACAATATAGTATGTACATTTACGCCATCCCTTCTCTCAGATTTCATATTTTGCAACGTATTACCGAAGATTGTAAATTATTTTCATCATTTTAATGACGATACTGTTCATTCTGTGCACATTGCATCTTTAAATACCATTCTGACAAAAACTTAGGTTCAGAGAGAAACTACATATACTCTGTAATTTCTACCCGATCACAATATTATTATAAAATGCTGAAGATTAACACTTAAATTTATTGTAAAAGTTATATCAAATTGTACGCCAGTAACAAAAATATATTGTTATTATAGATACATTCTAATTTCTTCTTATATCCAGTAACACGATTTTCAATAAATATCTTTCTTTTATCATTATTCTTCCGAATTTTATTATTAACAGTTAGATTGCCGTGATGATGGTCCCTCGAACGACAGGCACTTTCAATTTGCTACAATACTGTTTACCAATAGAAGAACCTTGATACTTGTAAAATTGTAAGTAATGATTCATCGAACATTTCTATGTTTCAGGCGATAATTTGAACAAATTTCTAGGACATGAAAAACTGGCATATCAAAGGTGGTCATTGTTCGAAGTACATCCGAAAAAGGATGTCAAAATTGAGGGTCAAGTATAAATTTCTGTGGCATTTACAAGACATACGCCGAACACTGTTGCCCGACGACTTTACAAATAGTTTGGATTTAAGGCTGTGTCGCGAATCTTAAAATATCTGGTTATTAATCAAGTTCTGTGATTGATACTTTATACAATTGAGTTGATTATAAAATAAAAACAAAGTCTTAACGCGTAGCACGACAGACGTATTATAAATATTGTTGATCGAAGGTGGCTCAATCTTCGCTTTCCTCGGTGTCTAAAATACTCTTAAAGGAAAATGGCTGAAAGGCGTGACCCTGGCCTTCGTAGAATTTGCTCATAAACTCCACCCTTAAAAACAAGGGAAAAAAACATGTAAATGATGGATACAAATATCTAGAAAATGAGGAATGATGTGGTCGATCCGTGAACTGAAGCTTACAAAACAATTTTAATAAGAATATCATGCATCAAAGTAAAAAAATTCTACGAATTAATACGACCTCCTGAGAAACGGGAAGATATAGAAAAGTTTATTTATTATATGTACAAATGAATAATCCAATTTTGTCAGCCACATTCAATGTTTATTTTAAAAGAAAGTAAATTGAATTGTTGAATCAAAGTGTTCGCCATTACTTTCTATAACTTTAAACCATCTTTCAGTTAGCTGATAAATTCCATTACGGAAAAATTTTACGTTTTTGGACCCGATAAAGTCATCTACTGATTGGAAGTGCATATTGGATAAGGCGTGTTGCATCAACCTGAACAGGTGATAATCAGATGGAGCAATGTCTGCAATTGTCATGCAACAATTTCACTGGATGTTCTCCTTTGCCAGTATACGGACGTTTTTGTTCCAATGCTTGACTCCAGCAGATTAATTGACGTTGGTAGCAGTCCGCAGTAACTGTTTCACCCGGTTCCAACAATTCATAATAAACCACTCCCTTGATATCCCACTAAATGCAGAGAAGAACCTTCTTTCCAAAGCGATTGGGTTTTGCAACCGGTGCTGATGCTTCGCTGGGATTTACCCATGACTTTCTGCGTTTAGGATTGTCATAAAGTATCCACTTCTCATAGCCCATAACGATGTTCCACAAGAAAGACTTTCGACGTTGCTTATTGAGATGAGAAAGACACACTGCCACTCGTTGATTTTTGTTGGTTGCAGTGAGTTCATGCGAACCCCATTTTCCTTCTTTCTGGATCTTTCCCATCTCACGTAGGCGTTTGGAAATCATTTGCTGGATTACTCCTAACTGTTCTGCAAGTTCTCTTTGCATTTGTGCCCCATTCTTAGCGAGCAATTGTTCTAAATATTCGTTGTCACATTTCCTTAGGCCTCCAGGGCGTTTTTTGTTGATTAGACTCAAATCACCGCTTTTAAACCGCTCTAAACCGAAATGCGCAGACATCATACGATACAATGCCTTCACCGAGAAAGGTACAAATCGATTCGCATGCTCTTGCAGCATTTTTCCCTTGTTGGAATTCGTAAAGAATGCAGTGTCGGATATGCATCTTATCTGTTGCCATTTTCGACTCTATTGAATTGAATACTTTTGAAGGTTATGTTGGGCCTTTCGCTAAACTATCTTTTGTTTTAAGGGGCCTTTCTACCTTGTGAGATTTAAAAAATCGAATTTTTTTTTGCATTTTCTTTTAACATGTAGTCTCGAAAATATATCTACCAAATATTAAATTGATATTTGAAAAACTAACGAAGTTATAGCCTGCTGAAATGTACCGCGCGCAGGTATAACAACTGGACCTGAAACTTTAAAGCTGTTTTTCTCGAAACTACATTTTTCAGCACTGCGTATGTGATAACGAAAAAACTATACAAGATATCAACATGAAATTTATACAGTATCTTCAGAACTGATCTCCCTATAGCATGAACTAGGATAATTGCAATATATGCAATACTTTTTCTTTTATTAACAAAAAAGCAACCGAATATATGAAAATATTCAGTATTTTTTCGTAAAATAGCTGCCATTTTGCCATTTTTTGTTTTTTTGAAAAGATCCTAGTTCATGCTATAACCACATACATCTACATTAAGAATATCGTTGATTTTTGGATTTCGGATAACTTGTTCGCATGATATCACATATACAGTCGGGCGCCGTTCGTAAAAACTATTGTTTGTTGATCAACAAAAACAGCGTAATCAATAGATATTATGCGTTGCAAAAATTCGTAAATATAGCTAAATATATAATAAATGTATCTACAAAACACGGAATTAATCGCTCTTTAATAGCCTGCAAAAAAAAATCACAAAGAAACATGTATTTTTCGTGCCTACAAGGTAAAATGACCCCGTAACTAGCTATATGTCAACACTATACGACCGCAAAAGAGCGCGAAAAATCTATCGACTTTAAATTGGATTTTATAACTGCTTAAGATAATTTGGATTATTCATTTGTACACCTAATAATACAATTTGCATCGTTCTTATTGGAAAACCTTATGCATTATGATTGTTTTCACTTACCAATGAAGTCGAAGCGTGTGAAGGAAAGCTGAAAGCCCTTCCATCATGACGAGAATAGAAAGGGTGAAGAAGGCCCAAGCGGCGAAGAGGCAGAATAAAACAACGCTCTGCGTATAATCATTCTCCGAGGCGCCTAAACCTTTGCGTAATACCATTGTCCACAATACCTCGGACAATTGTCCATGGGCCAACGACAAGGCCCATAAACGTAAATACGAAGCAGTGTGAGATATCGTGGAGAGAACGTATTCTATGGTATGAATGGCTTGGTGAATCATAAGTTCGCCGAATGATTCCTCTTCGTGATCATGGCTGGCTGCTTCGTTGCTCGAGGAAACGGGCTGCAGAGTCTCCGATTGCAATTCGATATCCTGAGACGTGGTTCCATTACTCTGAAAAAAGATAAAACTTTTACAAACGTTGTGCTTGAACACTTTGATCGTTCAAGTTCGATACAACGGTATATGAATCGTACAGAAAGTTATACTCGTTTAAACATAGAAGCCATAAGGCTAAACAGTACATAGAGTTATTAGCGCCACCTAGCGATTGACTGGTGAAGGAAATTTAGATACGTCTAAAAATCAAAATCTATTGATAATTTATATTAAAATTATCAAGAAAAGACGTAAAATTCATTTCTACACCTTTTAAATATATGTAGGTGCGAAGAATGTAGTGAATGATGTTCAGTTTAGTTTGAATCGCGTGTGAGAATGGGGGGTTGCAAGCGAGACATGAGTTGCGTGGTTTCAAGACGAAGGAACGATTAACGTTTTTGTTATAATTAGTTCATTTTCCTCCAATCCATTGCAATCCTTTGCAAAAATTCTACATAAATTGGGGGCTCGTTCGGGATTACAAACAGCAAGGGAGCATTTCGGAGGATAGTGAAGATAGTGAAACGAGAATAATGAAAATAGTAAAACGATGCAAAGCGAGGACAGAGAGAAGAGACAGTGTGGCGACAGTGAACATCGTAGTGCATGCAGTTCAAAGAGTGTTGCGACGAGAGACTTGAACAGATATACTGTATCAGCATTAAAAGAGTTGTTGATGCACAGGCTGTCTAGCATAGGCTCAAAAATCGAGCTAATTGCCCGTGTATTGGAAGCTGATCCCACGGAATCGTGAACAGAGGACGAAGGAAGTGAAGCAAGAGGAGACTCCGGTGACGATCAGCAAGCTGATACGTCTGTGGCGTCGCCTCCCATGCTCGCCACCAGAGGGGTCGCGCTCTCACAAGCGCTCGACCGACCCCTCGATTGCTATATATACGCTCCTCGAGCGACTTCCCAATATCCAATTCTCACGGAGACTCTCATCGAGTCGACATCGAGGCACTCTCAACACGCGAAGTTAGTTCACAAGTGAATTTACTCAAGAACAAAGGATCACAACTCAGGCACTTGACCAGGCATACGAGCAGGACACGGAAAATACCCGCCTAACTAGAAGGCACGGCCCAACGACCAGCGCTGGCCGCCGGGCCAGAGAAAACAAATTTCCGCCACCGTCAAGCCGCCAGGCAGGATGGTGAGCCATATATCCACATAATAAGGCGGCGCACGGCGTCACTTTCGGACTCCGGACGACCCTCCACTACGCTATTCACTGAAGTCGAATTCAGCAAGGCAGCACCAATGGACACCACCAGCAAACCGAACACCGACCACGAAGGCTTCCTTTTTCCAAGGAAGAGGAAAACCTCCAAGGAATCAACTACCACCCCATCAGCATCGGCCAGCCACGCCACGCCCGCAGCCACAAACAACGTCCCAGTAATCAACAGGTTCGCCATCTTGTCGGACATATTCGATGTCGAACAAATCACCCCCATTACGCCACCACAGGTAACCCCAGCTGATTCTGTCAAGACAACACAAGGTAAGCCACCGCCAATATTCATTCACTCAACGATCAAGGACCACAAGGGATTCTGCCGGCTACTAGAAAGTACGGTAAAAGATAAATTTGAAATTAAATACCTCACCAATCAGACAAAAATAACACTCGCAACAATCAGCGACCACCTCGCGGTCAAAGAATTATTAATTAAAAACAACCTACAAATGCACACATACACTCTTAACACGGATAAGACCATTGCAGTTGTCCTTAAAGGACTACCCAAGCTCCCAACCGAGCAAATCCTGTTAGAAATTCAAGCCAAGGGCTTAAATGCCTTAGCTTGCTCCGAATTAAAAAGAAAAGAGGCCAGCTATCTAGCCACTTATAAGATAATCTTCGCGAAGGGCACCACTCTCCAGCAGATAAATCATGTCAGATCGCTAGGACACACCAGAGCCTATTGGGAGAAGTTCAACAACTCCCGCCCTTATATACAATGTTTCCGATGCCAGGCTTTTGGCCACTCTTCGGCCAACTGCACCAAAACCCCTACATGCGTCAAGTGCGCAGGCAAACATCCAACTAAAGACTGTGTCAAGTCACCCAACACCCCGGCAACCTGCTGCAACTGCCACGGCCCTCGCCCGGCAAACTATAGCCAATGCCCCTCGCTTCTCGCTTTTATACAAAAAAGAACACACACCCTAACACACACAACCCCTGCTTCCTATCCAGCACCTACCCCACCGCAACCTACACGTGCCACCAACAAGCCACTCCACTCGCACCCAATGCCTTCTGCAACCACATCAAGATCCTATGCATCTGTCACGGCTGCAAGACAAATCCCCAAGACTGCACCTATCGAACCCAACAAAACCCGCGAGCTATCGGACCTCTTCTCCAAGGCTCAGACCATAAATGAGCTCATTAACATCACCATCATAGGAGCTGCTTTAGACCATCTGTACAACAAACTAATAACCTGCAAAACCAAGGCTCAAAAACTCCAAGCATTCTTAGAAGCCACTGAGTTAATCAATGGCTAACCTGCCTACGAAAATTTTACTCTGGAATGCCACCAGCATCCTCAATAAAACACAAGAACTTCTAATGTTCCTTGAACACCACCGAATCCACATTGCTCTTGTGTCAGAAACATGGCTGAAGGACACAGATACAATAAAACTAAACAGATACAGAATCATAAGAAACGACCGGATAACGCCACACGGGGGTGTCGCCATCATAATTCACCAATCCTTAGCATATAACAACCTTCCCCAACCTTTTCTGGACAACGTTGAGGGTGTCTTCATCGAAATTCCATCCAAACCCAAAATCATAGTTGGGGCCGCATACCTACCACCCAAGAAAAGATTCACACAGCACGACCTAAACGCACTAACCACACACGCTGCCAAATTTATCATCGGGGGTGACTTTAACGCAAAACACCCTAGCTGGAACAACACCTCAGCCAACTCCAATGGCAATACACTATACAAACACATGACAAAAAACAGCTACCATATCCTGCACAGTGACACATACACGCACCTACAACCCAGAGCCAGACCATCCAACATAGACATCTTCCTCACCAACTCACCGCACTATTCTGAATGTCACTCCATCCACGACCTCCCTTCAAATCATCTCCCGGTTATCCTACAACACACCAACAAAACCACTCACTTCACAAACTGCACTATCACCAACACCAACTGGCAGCAATTCTGTAGCCAGTGCAGCAGATATTTGATAAACCCGCGCATTGACACCATTCCTGACATAGACAGAGAGATAAACAGACTACAAAACACCATAACTACAAATTTTAATGCAGCCACAACCAAAAACCGAACTTACGCTAAAACAATCAAACCTGACCTTGAACTTCTAAACCTAATCAAGCTCCGCAATAGATACAGACGCAGATACCAGCGAACACTTTACCCGCTCCACAAACACCTCAGGAACTTACTCACAAAACAGATTCTAGCGAAAACCAAAGAAATCAAAATCCACTCATGGCAGCAAAAACAAATACAATCCGAGGCTAATCCCAACTACTTATGGACACTATATAAATCACTCAAATCCAAACTCTCCACAATCCCACCACTAAATGACAACCACACCACAGCTTACACTAACCAAGAAAAAGCAGAGATGCTGGCTAATAACTAACAACTTCAACCCCCGCTCATCAACAATTCCCCCATAGACGCGGAAGCAAATCACTTTGCCAGATCCCTAACCCTCACCCCTACTGCTCCCCAAGACAACTCCCACATTACCCCATCACTCATCCACAAACAAATAAAAAACATGAACAACAAGAAATCCCCCGGCCCAGACAACATAACAGCCATCCAACTCAAAAACCTTCCACAAAAAATCATAGTTCAACTGTACTACATCTATAAACAATCCTTCAGACTCGCCTACTTCCCCACTTCCTGGAAAACTGCTAAAATCATCCCACTACCCAAACCCGGTAAATCCAAATTAAATCCCAACAATTACAGGCCAATCAGCCTCCTCAACTTGCTAGGCAAAATATACGAACGAATCATCCTAATTCAGCTAACTAGGCACCTTCAAGCTCAAAGTACTCTGATACAGGAGCAATTTGGTTTTCGAGCCAACCACTCCACCATCCATCAAGCCCTCCGACTCCAGGAGGACATTGCTCTTGAGATCAACAAGAACAGATCAGTGGTACTAGTACTGCTAGACCTACAGAAAGCTTTTGACACTGTATGGCACAATGGCCTCCTCCTCATACTCCTCAGAATCAACCTACCCTTACACACCATTAAGATAGTACAGAGCTTCCTCTCGGACAGGAAAATCACTGTATCCCTCAACGGTTCCCAGTCCACATACAAAGCTATCCACACAGGGGTCCCCCAAGGCTCAGTCCTAGGCCCCGTATTATTTAACATATTCATCAACGATATCACCAAAAACTCAAACACCAAAATTGCCCTCTATGCAGATGACACAGCAATATACGCATCTTCTTGGAACCCAAATCAGGCAATAAAATATACACAAGCACACCTAGATCAAATCTCCCAATTTACAGATACTTGGAAACTAACCCTTAACCCCACAAAAACTGAGGCCATCCTTTTTACCAGGAAAAGATCCCCCAACGCAAACAACATCAGAGTAAACAACCACCCTGTACAATGGGCTAACAAGGTCAAATATCTAGGCATATGGTTTGATAAAAAACTCAGCTGGCTCCCCAACATCCAAGACAGAGCCTGCAAGGGCATTGGCGTCCTACATACACTCTACCCCCTACTTGCCAACAATAGCCCACTCCCCTTAAAAACGAAGATTCGCCTTTACAAAACCTGCATCAGGTCCATAATCACATACGGCGCACAAGTCTGGTGCACCGCACCCAAATCCTACCTCCACAAAATTCAGGTCATTCAGAACAAATATCTCAGAATAATTCTCAATAAACCCAGATATCACACCACAGTTTCCCTACACATAGAGGCAAAAATAGAACTCATCTCCGCATTCATAAACAGAATAACTCGTAAAACACTTAACGCCAACCTCAGCCACCCAAATTCCCTAGTAGCCGCGTTAGGGAACTACAAACCCGAAGACATTCCCCTCAAAATGCGCATAAAAACCCCTACACTAACCATTTCATAACTTGACATACAACCCATCATTCTCATCGCAAGATGCATGTCGTAGAGGTTTTTGAAACTTTTCCCTCTAACTCCAAACATGAAATCTAATTAGATAAAACATTACACAACACAATTCCACAACAACACCAACCTAACATGCTAATTGCAGGTTATAGGGAGTAAAACCCACGGTACTGCAAACACACAGTAACCCAAAAAAAAAAAAAAAAAACTTCCCAATATCCCAGTCGTCGAAGGCAGGGCCTGCTAGGAAGTTTTACTGATGAGTCCACTAGCAGGCCCGGGCGAAACGCGCCCCCTCCTTTCCTTTTCTGTCCTCCTACAAATTCTCTCGAGACCCTAACCGCAGCGAAGCAGCGCCACATGTCCAAAGACATGTGAGAGCGAACAATGAGACTTGTGTCATTTCGAGAATCGCGTGTAGGAAATATTTTAAAATTGTTAAGCTCAATGGGCGCGAGATTGAGGCAATAATAGATTCGGCGAGTGATTTTAGTTTAATCCGTGCGGACGAATATATTAAACTAGGGTCCCCGAGATTTTCGTCTGGCGAGCGCCATTTTGACGGTATGGGTTCGGAAGATAACCTTGGGAGAATTCGAAACAGATTACGGCAGATGGGCATACATACTCGATTTGCGTGCAGGTTGTTTCTAACCTTTTACTTAAACATAAGTTTTTAATCGGCGCGAATTTCCTGAAAAAGACTGATGTTAGTTTGAGGGGCAGCGACGTTACTATTCGTCCATTACAGTCGGTAGCGTGTGATGATGCGAAAAGAGAATGCGTACCCGAGGTATTTGCAATTGATGTAGCATGTAATGGAGTAAATCGATGGGTCACACATTGTAAATCCTGATCAGCGAGTAGTGATAAGCTAAATGGAACGTTCGAGTCAGACATAAAGATGCAGCCAGTACTTTCGGACGAAGAGCCTATTTATCAGTCGGCGAGACGACTGTCACCATCTGAAAGGGATGTCATCAATGAACAGGTTGAACAGTGGATCGAGGATGGAGGTGCTGCGTTCAAGCAGTATTGACGGGAGCATAGAACTTTCCTCAATTGCTGCAGGTGTTCTGAGGGTCAACAGTCAAGTTGAGCAGCTTAACAGGGCATTGATATCATTGTTGACAAAATTATTTGCTCCAGAACCCTGTGATCGGTATAAACATCGCCCAACAATGTTTAAATTCAGCTGTGCATCGGAAGCAGTGACACATCACCATTCCATCTCCTTTTCGGAACTCATCCATGACTGAAGAACTACCCGGATATCAAAGAACTGCTTCATAAAGAATGAATAGCGACGTTTCAAGAGAGAGATGAATTACGAGTGCAGGCAAATAAACGAACATTTAACGAAGGTAGGCGAAAGGCAAGGGTTTATTGCAAGGTTGACTTGGTTGCCATTAAACAAACTCAACAAGGTCCGGGTCTTAAGATGGCTCATAAATACCTTGGGCCCTATGAGGTAATTCGAGTTCTTCGCAATCAGCGTTATTTAGCACAGAAGATTGGTGAAGAAGAAGATCCTAAGCAGACCTCTACATCTGCTGAGTTCATAAAGTTGTGGATCAGCAGTGAAAGCGAAGAATCAACGGATGAAGAAAATAACGACGTTGAGGAAGACATTCGAGGTCGAATGTCCAAGCAGGATGGCCGAGTGTAGGAATGAAGGATGTAGCGAATGATGTCCAATTTAGTTTGAATCGGGTGTGAGAGTGGGAGGCTGCGAGCGAGACACGAGTTGCATGGTTTTAAGACGAAGGATTAGTGTTTTTGTTATCATTAATGTTTGCGAGCGGTGTGTTCGATATATTAGTTCATTTTCCTTCAATCCATTGTAATCCTTTGCAAAAATCCTACATATATGCAATAATACCAAAAGCAATAATAAGAGAATTTGTACATGTAAACATAATAATAAAGCTATAAAAATTATATTTGCTTACGAAAATTTTGTCCGATTTCTTTTTCTTTAACTTCTTCGATATCAAAAAGAAAACTGGTTTGCCAAAGAGCATTATAGGTATGCACAACACCGCCACTATAACACATACGAGTTGTACGGTAGCTTGGCCAGGGTACATGTACTCCGAACAACGTCCTGGCATGATAGTATGGCCACGTAATATCATATTGATAAACGTAATCAAGACTGATGGAGCACACGTTGGACCATAAGTATCCTTATCTATAAATAGTAAAAGAAAACGTATTTAATGTCTCGACGAGCCTGTGAGCTTAATCGTTTAACGGGGTCTTCTTTTAATCTGATACTTTGGAAAAATCAATTTCTCTACAGAATTCTAAATATATCCATGCGTAGACTAGAATGCCCCGTTAATTAAAAATTAGAATACGCACCTTCTGCGGCGGCATCGTACAAAACCCACTTTACAAACATCAAAACCACCAGATAGAAAAATAGTAAAACAAGGAAGATCAGTTGTGGCAAGAATTCAAGGAAGAAGCTCGGGTATTTCTTGAAATACCTAAGAGTAGCATGCAGATATTGTTAGTAATATGTTCGATCGTTTCGAAAAAGCTATTTGTTTAGAAAATAATATTTTATAGATGGAACAATGCAATCAAACGTTGGACACTTTCTGCGGAAGAATCGTTTCAGTATTAAAAAATAATTTTATTCGTAAGAGATGCCTCGCAGTGATTAAGAATTATATATAAAATAATTTTCTTCTATCGACAATGTACTTCCAAGTTATATTTAATTCTAAATTATGAAATAACTTTTTCTCGACTTTCTTTTCCTCAATTTACAGCATTGAGCATAATTATTAAGAAAATTTGTTCTAAATATAACAAGTTATGTATCGATCAAGTAAATGGCTCGATTATGAAATTACTCAAAATGTGATATCTCGACTTTCATTGTTCTTTGACTGGTCGATTCCATTTAATTTAAGTATAACCTTGATTCGATACCTTTCTAACTAAAAGTTCTAAAAGTAGAATAAACCCCAAACGGGTCCACAACGTGTTAATTATATGCAGTATATCGAAATTGAACTTACATAATATTGGCGATACTCATGCAGACACCAAAAATCATGTGCACGACACCGAAGATGATCGACAATTTCATTTTGTACGAATTTAAGAATATAATCTTATTCTCTGCCTGCACCCAAACTGGATCCATACCCATCGGATAAGGCACTTGTTTATATTCCTCTGTAGCTGGATCCAACTGAAGCACGCTATTATCCATGATGGTTTCCACTTTCATTTTACCAATTTGCCAGCTAGATCCGAACAAGTTAATGGACTTCGAGAATATGTCATTGTAGATGAGGCCAGTGTAAATGGAAAACAAACCCATTAGCAGTATAATGTAACGACCGGCGAAAAATATATTCCAAATTTCGGAGGATGATTTTCGCGCCGAAAACTTCTTCTCCGTTAGAATCATGTACGCAGCGAACAATGTAATAATCAAACCTGCAGTGAAAAATCAATGTTTAAAATATGTATATTTAAATCAACCGTACGTACAGTGAGCGTCAATATAAAGTTAACACTTGAAATTTTCAACTTCTCTTTGAAATAATTTAAAAGATATGAAAGAAAACAGAAAAAACGTGTATGGTATTGAAAGCTCAATCTGTCTATTATAAAAAACATATATTTCTTGTAGTAATAATTTAACAATAAGCAAACACAATGACAAGAACAAAAAAAGTCCCTTTTTCTTGAGCCAATATAAAGTTAACACCCCTGCTTTTATGTACATAGTTATAACTATTGAAACAATTTCTGGTTATATTGGCATCAGTGTTTAGTAATATGATCTTGGGAAATCCCCGTGTTTTGTTTCCATTGCAAAACAACAGGAGATACTATTTGTGTAATCTTAAAATGGGTAAACAAACAACTGTTGAAGAGCATCAAATAATAATTGAAATGCATATAAATAGACAGTCTTTAAAAGAAATTGCTAAAGTTGTGCAAAGAAGCCATGTGGCTGTGAAAAAGATCATTGATAACTATAATAATCTCGGATTGTTAAGTAATATTGATCATAAACGGCGACCAAAAAAACTCAATGAGAGTGATGACCATTAAAGACCACCTCAAATATAATGAATCTTTCTGGAATGATGTTCTCTTTACTGATGGGAGCAAATTCGAAATCTATCAAGACAGAAAACCGCCGAAAGTATGAAAAAGTAAAAATAGTGCTTTGAAGGAACAGAACTTAGTCCATACAGTCAAACATGAAGGGGGATCTGTGATGTGTTATATTGACTCAAGGAAAAGGAGCTTTTTTGTTCTTTGCATTAATTATTACTAAAAAAAATATGTTTTTTATAGAAGACAAATTGAGCTTTCAAAACCATATACCTTTTTCCTGTTTTCTTTCATACGTTTTAAATTATTACAAAGAGAAGTTAAAAATTTCAAGTGTTAACTTTATATTGACGCCCGCTGTAGGTAGTTTGCTTACCGTGGCCAGAATCGCCGAACATGACGCTAAACAGAAATGGGAAAGTGATAATTGTGTAAAGGGCCGGGTTAGCCTCGCGGTAGGACGCCACGCCATAGGCGTCGATCAAATTTTGAAAACCTCTCGTAAACTTGTTTGTCCTGTTGAACGTCGGAGGATCCTCGTTCGTGTAGATAACGTTCAGAAAAGATGGTATTGAACTACCACAGAGACGCTGGACAACATAAAATGTTAACGGAACGTTGATTACGATGAACAAAGACAGTAAATCCTCTTATAACAGAATGCAAACTGCAATGTACAGTGGGTCAAAAAAGTATTTTTACACCTTATTTTTTGATGATATCTTTATACAGGGTGTTCGGCCACCCCTGGGAAAAATGTTAATGGGGTATCCTACAGGCCAAAATACGACGAAAATCAAGAATACCAATTTGTTGATGGAGGCTTCGTTAAAAATTTATTAACTTTTAAAGTTCCACCCGTACTGAATTTTTTTCTCGAAAATGCGCAGGATTTCGGGGGTATGTATATTCACCAAAACTGATTGTAATTGACTGCCGCAAATGAAAATAATTTTTCCAGAACGATTTGAAATTTTTTTTTTTCGTCGAAAAATTTAGGCACCTAAATAGATTTTCGGTAAGGAATTTTTTTTTCGAAAGTGCCTAGGATTTCGGGGGTATGTGTAATGACAAAAAATGATTGTAATTGACCCCCGGAACCGACAATAATTTTTTTAGAACGATTTTCTCAAAAAATTTTTTTTTGATTTTTAGTAATTTTGTTTGACACCGTATAGAAAAGTTGTCTAAAACTTTTTTGCAGCTACCCATGAGCTCTATATTGGAAAAAAGTTTCATTGAAATATATTCACTATTGCAGGAGTTATGGCTGTTTGAAGAATGGTCCATTTTTATGGGGTTTTTCTAACTTTACGGAGGCAAGGAACAACTTTTTTAATATTATTAGAATTTCTACATATTCTTCACCAAAATACGCGTAATTTGCCGTTTGAAACATTAAAATTCTCGAATTGGTTCAGAAGTTATGATGTTTTAAAAATGCGCAAGAAGTGTTCGACTGACATTTCTGGCCTGTATTTATATTTTCGGTAAGGAATTTTTTTCTCCAAAATGGTTAGGATTTCAAGGGTATCTGTAGTGACCAAAAATGATTGCAATGGATCCCTGCCATCGAAAATAATTATTCCAGAGTGATTTGAAACTTTTCAATTTCGCCGAAAAAATTAGGCACCTAACCCCCTGTCGATTTTTCTTAAAAATTTCTTTCTGATTTTTAGTAATTTTGTTTGACGCCGTATAGAAAAGTTGTTTAAAACTTTTTTGCAGATACCCATGAGCTCTACTTCGGAAAAAAAGTTTCGTTGAAATACATTCACTATTGAAGGAGTTATGGCTGTTTGAAAATTTGACCATTTTTATGGTGTTTTTCTAATTTGACGGGGTCAAGGAACAACTTTTTCAATATTATTAGAATTTCTACATATTCTTCACCAAAATACGCGTAATTTGCCGTTTGAAACATTAAAATTCTCGAATTCGTTCAGAAGTTATGATGTTTTAAAAATGCGCAAGAAGTTTGCGAGTGACATTTCTGGCCTGTATTTATATTTTCGGTAAGGAATTTTTTTCTCCAAAATGGTTAGGATTTCAAGGGTATCTGTAGTGACCAAAAATGATTGCAATGGATCCCTGCCATCGAAAATAATTTTTCCTGAGTGATTTGGAAATTTTCAATTTCGCCAAAAAAATTAGGCACCTACCCCCTGTCGAGTTTTCTTATAAATTTTTTTAAATTTTTAGTAATTTTGTTTGACGCCGTACAGAAAAATTGTCTAAAACTTTTTTGCAGATTCCCATGAGCTCTACTTCGGGAAAAAAGTTTCATAGAAATAAATTCACTATTCCAGGAATTATGAACCATTTTTATGGGGTTTTTCTAATTTGACGGGGTCAAGAAACAACTTTTTTCAATATTATTAGAATTTCTACATATTGTTCACCAAAATACGCGTTGTTTGCCGTTTGAAACATTAAAATCCTCCGATCCGTTCAGAAGTTATGACGTTTTAAAGATACGCAAGAAAGGACAATGTTAAGTCATAGAGGGGTTTACTGACCCAAGAGCGTACAGCCTATGCTATACACCGTTGGAAAGGTCTCGCCAAGGCGAATCGACTGATACCATTTTTAACTTCGATATCAGATGGGATCATGTCGAAAAATGGCCTCAAAGTTCGAGATTTTGCGGTTTTGAACAAAAGAATCCGGTCGTAAAAGCCCATCCGGCCCGAGGGACCTCGGGTAGGCACCTGAGGGAAAACCGAGCGGTGTAAGCGATACTCTAGCAGATTGGGACGGCAAATGTGCCCCACCACCTTCATTTCAGTGCCGTGTTGGGCCTGCGTTTGCCGCATGGGCCCCGTTCGAAATGCCCAGGGCGAAATCGCCAATGGATCAGTTGTTTTTCATGAACATAATACATTCATGATAGACGATTCGCAGGTATAAGTTGGGAATGTGCAGGTTAGTATTCAGACTAATGCGTCACTTACAATAGTGAATGGAGTGACATTTTATTGATTGAACGAAACATAATGATGTGAATACTGAATACTAACCTGCACATTCCCAACTCATACCTGCGAATCGTCTATCATGAATATATTATGTTCATGAAAAACAACTGATCCATTGGCGATTTCGCCCTGGGCATTTCGAACGGGGCCCATGCGGCAAACGCAGGCCCAACACGGCACTGAAATGAAGGTGGTGGGGCACATTTGCCGTCTCAATCTGCTAGAGTATCGCTTACACCGCTCGGTTTTCCCTCAGGTGCCTACCCGAGGTCCCTCGGGCCGGATGGGCTTTTACGACCGGATTCTTTTGTTCAAAACCGCAAAATCTCGAACTTTGAGGCCATTTTTCGACATGATCCCATCTGATATCGAAGTTAAAAACGGTATCAGTCGATTCGCCTTGGCGAGACCTTTCCAACGGTGTGTAGCATAGGCTGTACGCTCTTGGGTCAGTAAACCCCTCTATGACTTAACATTGTCCTTTCGAGTGACATTCCTAACCTAAAATTATATGTTCTATAAGGAATTTTTTTCTAGAAAATGGTTAGGATTTCGTGTGTATGTCTATTGCCCAAAAATGATTGCAATTGACCCCTGGAATAAAAAATAATTTTTTCAAAGTGATTTGAAACTTCAATTTCGCCGATAAAAACACCTACCCCCTGTCGATTTTTCTTAAAAATTCGTTTTTGATTTTTAGTAATTTTGTTTAATGCCTTGTAGAAAAGTTGCCCAATAACTTTTTGTAGGTACCCATGAGCTCTACTTTGGAAAAAAGTTTCATTGAAATATATTTGCTATTGTAGGTGTTATGGTCGTTTGAAAATTGTGTTTTTAATCCGTTCCATAGACACACTACAGCTGTCTGCCCACAAATACTAATTCAGTGAATAGTTTCTCAACTGACCACCATCCATGAGAAGAGGACGCTACAATAACCTCCGAATTTTTAGATCTGTATGGCAGTCAGATTGGGCCATGAAAGTTCATAAGGTGAGAGGTCTACTCGTATACCTCATCTTTGATACAGATTCCAAAAGTGGCCGGTAACCTAATTTTAATTGATAAATAGTACAATATTATATCCATATAAGTTTATCGTTATATACATAAGTGTACAAACACCTTTTTGGCCTTCTTCTGTATTATTTTTTTGTAACGCATTATTAACAATTGTTACTCAGCACATTGTCTCAGCTTATAATAGACTGTTAATGAAAGCAGTTTTTGTTAATGAATCCCTTGCCTATGTAAAGATATCACCAAAAAACGAGGTGCACAAATACTTTTTTAATCCACTGTAAATGAAAGTGAGAATAACAGTATTTACGCAAATTTTACACAATCCATTAGTAGTTCAAGACTTCGTTGAACGAATCAACCGTGTTATAGGAGGATTATATAGAAATTATTACTTAGTGATTCGAAAACAAACCGATCCTTCGGTGAGACAATCTCTAACAACTCCAAGGTCCGCCACAGGCACCCAGCATTCCCCGATTAGGCACTTTTTCGAAACGTCCATATTGAATAAGTTCATCGTGTGATAAATTGCTTTCATCTTTCTGACCATGATACTCCAGTTCGGCAGTTCTTTAGCCACGTTATGTAGCACGCGTTGACGATGATCTTGCGTTTGGTTCAAAACCTGCAAAGTTTGGGAAACGAAACGTGAGAATGACGATTTTTATGAAAACTTGTACAAGATCGTTACTAAAATAGAATATTTTAGAGTAGTGGTTCTCAATCTGGAATCAAAGTATGGATAAAAATTATAAAATTCACTCACCAAATTTAAATCCTCCAATCTTGTGCGAACGCCTTTTACCATTTCCTCGCGTTCTGCATGACTGTGCGGACACGGGTATAGCGACGCATGAAAACCACTGCAAACTTTCTTGATACGACTTTTCAGCTGTTCCCCTTGGAAAAACGCGACGAAGGCAGTTTTGTACATCTTGTTACCCTAAAAAGATTTTCAAAAATAAAACTGCCCTCTACGGTAGTAGGTATATCAAAATGTACAGTTAACAGGGTTTATGTTTTTTAATGTTTGCGTGTTGCGTTTGTGTTTATTTCCTTTTTTTAAAGAAAAGAAAGGGTAAACCTTACGTTTAGGGGAGGCAGCTCCGATGACCTTGACCTTGACATATGTTGTCAAGGTCACCCTCCTGAGTAACATTCAAGAGGTTTCAGCCGGCGCTCGTTTTTTATTAAAAAATTATTAGCATAGAAAAATTATATAGTATTTATTATATTATATAACATATTTATTTAAATAAAACAAGTGTATTAAATTATATTTTATTAAAAATGGGTGTCGGTATTAGTTAGTGTAGTTTGTAGGGGGGTCTGGGGACGACGAATTTATTATGATACTGTTCAATTCGTTTCGTTTCAAGGATGTTTTATTTTGTGCTCCGCAGAGCTCATAAAACGTGTGGCGTCGCCTCCCATGCTCGCCACCAGAGGGAGTCGCGCTCTCACAAGGGCTCGACCGACCCCTCGGTTGCTATACATTTCTCGAATGATTTCCCAATATCCCAGTCGTCTAAGGCACATCCACAACGGACTCCAGCAGAGAACAATCAACTCACCAATTCTATTTAATATTTTTTTAAGCGATCTCATACAAATGTATGACCTAAATAGCGGCAACGTGAAATCAGCAATAGCATTTGCAGACGATTTATTAATATACAGCAGACACAATAAGCCCTCCAAAATACAGACAGAACTCCAAAAAACATTTAGCAAAATTCAAGATTACTTTCACACTTGGAAACTGAAAATTAATATAAATAAATGCGAGACAATTCTGTTCAGACCGTATATATCTAAAATCTCAGACGCAAACCACGACGTACGGAAGCACGAGACAAAATTTCACCTGCACGACAATAACGACCAGAATCGAATCCCACACAAAGACATTGTTTGCTATTTAGGCATACATCTAGATTTTAAGCTAAACTACAACCACCACGTACAGATACGGTTAGACAAAGCTTGAAAAGCTTTTTTTGCTCACAAACGTCTCTTCTATTCAAAGGATCTTAACTCGTCTGTTAAGCTCCTTTGCTATAAATCTCTAGTTAGACCTATCTTAACATATACATGCCCAATTTGGTTTAATATCAGTGCCGGAACTATGGAAAAACTATGACTTTTTGAGCAAAAATGCCTAAGAGCATGCTTAAACAAATATAGAACTCCCGAATCGAACTTTATAAAACTATACAATAACTACAAACTCTACGTTAACACTAAAATCAAACGCATTGACATGTTCATATTAAAATTAATTAGAAACCACTGGGTAAGCACCCGCAAAATCCATTTAAATAGTTTAATCTTTGGCTCTACATACCTAAACCCAATATACCTCGACAAAACGAGACTGACAGGCTACACTTCCCCAGAATCATTCATCCACCTAGACAGCGAAGACTATATACAGAATAAAGACAACACCCCACTAATATACCACGCCAAACGAAACAAAAACGATAAGACTATACTCTATGACAAAAACTTACCACAAGATAGCGCAAATATACATCATCACTATAGACTCTCAAGCATTGACAAAAAAGATAAACACAGACTCAACATTGACAAGTACTGGTGGTTGCAGCGAACTTAAATGATCCCAGTACCTTAAGTATATCATCTTTCACTTAATCCTAAACAACCTCCCTCTCTGCATGTAACTGGATTTAATTTTGCTTTGTATAGTTTTTTCGGTGCCATTTTTCTATACAAAATATTAAATCTTGCCCCTAGTATAAGTAACTATTCTTAAAACTATCTTGTAAGTGGCATTAAGTGCGACGGACATTATTTAATGTTAAGATTACGCGAGCTCTATGTTGAGCCATTAGTCTAAATTGTAGTCCTAGTTATAAGTTAGCCGTTTGTACATTTAGGTTTATTGTATACCCTTGTATATATATTTATAATTGTTTTCTTGGCACAATAAACGTTCGTTAAAAAAAAAAAGTCCAGTATGGTGCACCACAGTAACATCACACATATTCAAAATCCAAATTGTACAAAACAAATACCTCCGCATCATTCTAAACAACACACGCTATCACACAATCGCTTCGTTGCATGAGGAAGCAAAATCGAGTATATCCGCGAGCATGTCATGAAGCTGGCTGCCCTGCAGCTCAAGTTACTAACTCCCAGCATCCAAAAACTCCCTAGTAGTGTCACTAGGGAATTACAATCCCGAAAATATACCATTAAAGATACGAACACAAACTTCCAAACTAATCATCAAATTAACCATCCACAGCGCCACACTCATCGCATGATGCATGTAAACGAGGTTTTTGAAACTTTTCCCTCGAGCCCTAACCCAAGGAAAACCACAATAACACATCCTCATAAACATTACAGACACTGACAAACATTTTAAGTGCAGGTTATAGGGCTACAGTCCAGGGTACTGCAAAAGAAACAGGAGAACGAGATAATAAAAAAAAAAAACTTCTCAATATCTTAGTCGCCTAAGGCAGGGCCTGCTAGAAAGTCCTTACTTGATGAGTCCCCACTAGCAGGCCCGGACGAAACGCGCCCCCTCCTTTCCCTTTCTCGCCTCCAATGAGATTCTCACGAAGCAGCGCCACAAACGAAATTCCATATTCTTGTGTTTTTTGTTTCCGGTAATTTTTATATACTAATAACTTTTTAATAAAAAACGAAAGGTACCTATAACTTTTTGGGGGATACTCAAGAGTGCGACCTTCATAAACTGTGTGAACGTCAAGGTCACACTGAGTATACATATACACAGATTCTAGTGTAATACTAATAATACATTTTTATTAATAACTTGTGACGAAAATCACTCATCGGCGCCGCGACCCCAGCAATAGGACCCCACACCGGAGTCAGTCCAATAAACATTTATATTAAAACGTTAACACGACTTGCGTACTAGATACCTGTCCCAATCCCGCTCCTTGACGCAGCCGCTGCTTCGAGAGGAGACTCGAACGCGGTACTGCGGCGCTACCTAACCGGCGTGTTGCGGCTAACTAACGTTACAAACTTTTTAATAAAAAACGAGCGCGGCTAAAACCTTCTGAGGGTCATGGGGGGGGGGGGGCCTTGACAACATATGTCAAGGTCAAGATCATCACAGCTGCCTCCCCTAAACGTAAGGTTTACCAAAGAAAGATACTAACAGTAGCTGGATCCTCCAATGGCTTCTCCAGTTCAGCTTGACGTAAAAATACGTTTCCACGGCATATTCGCCACAACATTCGTTCGAAAGCAGGCACTCGTTCTCGATTAATTACCCCAGCAACGAATCTGAAAGAACAATTACAAGGAATAATATTAAAATTGGTATTTTGCGCAAAATAGAAAAAGAAGAATTTTCCTATGAGGAGAAATAGATGCAACGAACGGATAATATTGTTACAATAAATAGTTGGCGACGTACTCGAGACGTCCTCGACCAGCCGCGCTCGGATTCGGTGCTTCCTCGTTAATTAGCGTCCTGGTAATCGAGTCATTGGCCTCTTCCTGTTGATATAGAAGAAGATGATACGAATCTTGATTCTCCGACAGAACGATAACATCGATTACATGAAGGAGGACGATGCTATGAGCAAAAGCTGCTGAACTACTTTAGGTACCTCCATGAAAAACACTTGCGTTTTCTCGAGCACGTGCCGTAATTCCGTCAACTCCAGATAGTTGCTCTTCAGGTTCACCGCGTTTTGGCTCAGCTCTAGTATGTCGTTACTCGTCTTCTCGAGGTTAGCCTACAAGAACAGACCATTATCATTCGCGATAAATGTGAATTACAATTCTGTATAGCCGAATAAGGGGGTCAAATGTGACCCCAAACCAAATTGAACGTGCGATGGGTCATTCGATAGCTAATCGAAAGAAAACCCTATGGGCCAATTTTTAACTTGAAATCTCGACGGTGGGGGTAGTAATGGGGTGATAACGAAAATCATGTTTTTGTACAATTTCTCTTGTCCTATTGAGTAAAAACATGTAAAAAAATTCAGAGACATTTCGGGTACCGGGGCACATATTTTGGAAGCTTTTCAGATTTTTTGATTGAAGAACCAGGTAGTAAAAAATAAAAAACCGCAAAAAATGCCGAAAAATGCCGATTACGCATTGAAGGAGTTGCGGAACTACTTTCATATTTTTACAGTAAACAGGTATTGTTATTACTATTATTCTCAATTTTTTTCAGATTTTTCATTTTGGTGTGCCGCAGTGAAAAAAAATAATAACCGATTTTTTTCCTTATTTTCTGCATGTTAGAGTAACTTATAAGTCGAAATTTTATGTATTCTTTAATATATGAGTGTTTCATGTACTGTTCCATATTTCTACACTAAGCAGAATTACATAATCGTTGAGCGCAATACATATATTCTAAAGAATCAACGATATTTCTAATGGCGTCGTTGGCGCTGCAGTAAAGTGTCCGTCTGTGGAACTGCTCGAAGTTTTTTAACCATAGGTTCGAATCTCCCTTTTGGACTTATCTATTTTTTTCAAATGCTAATTATATAACAGTGATTTATATTTATTTATAAATATTCTAAAAGTATTTTACAAATATTTTAATCTGAAATATGTATAAATATAATTTTGGAGCGTTTTTTGCATCTTTATTTTTTTTGTCGACCAAGATTATTGTTTAACATCTCTTGCACTGAAATTAATGTGAAATGTTAGTTTTCAAATCTCTTACCTTTGACCATTGCAAATGAATCGGGGCAGAAGATTGTATTTTGGCTTACTATTACTTTTACTCCCTCTTTGATCAAACAGATCTTTCCTTTTTTTTCTCTTTCTTTGATTGTTAAGGGATAATCTCCTGTGAATGACATCGGTGGTGATTTGGTTGTGGGAGTTGGTAGCCATGATGAGTGAGGTTGGTAGTAAGCAGTGAGGGGAATACCGGGTGTATCGAGGAGACAAAGGAGTCACGGCAGAACGAGAGAGACTAGGAAGAAAGAAAGAGAGTTGCATAGTTGTTAAGGTTTTTAGTTAAGTTTTTTTGTATGTTATGGCAAATAAATCCGTACGTTTTAAGAAAGAAATACAACATTGATAAGTAGGAATGTTTGCTATGGCTTCACTATCGAACGTAGCCATGTAAGAATCATTCCATGCCAACCCACTCTGTTATTGATTCTTTTTTGTAATAAACGCATTTGTAAGTATCAGTTCGATTATTTATTGCTTATTTTTGAGCGAAGAATAATTGAAGAATAATTTTTGAATAATTGCTCGATAGAAACTACGGGGACAAATTATAAATTGTCCATGCTCTATGAAAGAGATGGAGGTTGCTGGGCTGACAGCCCAGGACGTTCACAGTGACGTTATAGACTTCATTGGTTTGTTAAAAACAGTGTATAGACAATCGTACCATAAACCCAAGTGCTGAGAATTCCCAAAAGAGGGTTTAATGGGTAGATAGTAAAAATTTTACAAGCAAAATGCTATTTCATGAAAAGAAAAAGAAGGAAAACCATGTAACTTGCTAAAGAGTGACTAATGAATTATGATAAGACTCGATGACAATATCGCGTCCTGATGTTCCTAGGATCTCACATCAACACTGTATGGTCGCAAGGTGCGTAACACTGAATCCATACCTTTATTCTTTTTTTCGTATTCTGTCTATTCCTTCTGCAAGCCAGAGGTTCACTCAGAACTTAACGTGAGTATATTCATTCGTACAGATTCGATATTCATATGTTATGATAGGACAATCACTATTGAGGATATTGAAGTACAAATGTAGAACAGAAGTGAAGGATTTAAATATTCTGTATTGGACTTCAGAATTCCAATTTTTTACCAACTACAATTTATTAAAATAATCTTACGAAAAAAACGTTTCTTAAAAACGGCAATGTACCAGAAAACTGTGTCATAAACCGGGTTCTCAAATCTCTTTGGATTTTAACTGTTTATTATACATTGTGTAAAATAAGTTCGCGGAATTTCTCACTTTCAAATTCCACAGTGCATACAGGGTGTTCGGCCACCCCTGGGAAAAATTTTAATGGGGGATTCTAGAGGTCAAAATAAGACGAAAATCAAGATACCAATTTGTTGATGGAGGCTTTGTTAAAAAATTATTAACGTTTAAAGTTCCGCCCGTACTGAATTTTTTTCTCGAAAATGCGCAGGATTTCGGAGGTATGTCTATTCACCAAAAATGATTGTAATTGACCCCCACAACCGAAAATAATTTTTCCAGAACGATTTGAAATTTTTTTTTTCCACCGAAAAATTTTACACATTTTCGAATTTTTTTCTAGAAAGTAGATAGGATTTCGGGGGTATGTCTATTCACCAAAAATGATTGTAATTGACCACCGTAACCGAAAATAATTTTTCCAGAACGATCTGAAATTTTTTTTTTTCGTCGTTTAGGCACCTAATTAGATTTTCGGTAAGGAATTTTTTTTCTCGAAAGTGCATAGGATTTCGAAGGTATGTGTCAAGACCAAAAATGATTGTAATTGACCCTCGCAACCGAAAATAATTTTTTTAGAGCGATTTGAAAAATTCTTTTTTCGCCAAAAAATTTCAGCACCTACCCGATTTTTTTCCACGAAAGTGGGTAATATTTCGGAGGTATGTGTATTCACAAAAAATAATTGTAATTGAACCCCGCAACCGAAAATAATTTTTCCAGAATGATTTGAAATTTTTGAATTTAATTGTTAGTAACTTTTTAACGAAGCCTCCATCAACAAATTGGTATTCTTGAGTTTCGTCTTATTTTGGCCTCTAGAATCCCCCATTAAAATTTTCCCCAGGGGTGGCCGAACACCCTGTATATTGAAACAAATTTTTGTGTGTAAGTAGGCAAGATTGTATTCAGTTGGTACGCTACATTTGATCGCAATATGACAACCAGTGTGTTCACGGCAGTTATTTACACCCGTCGAGCTCGAGTGTGCTCTCCGATTTTTGCGATTGAAAGAACTGTCGAGCAAAGAATTTGCCATAAATTTTGCGTTTCTAACGAAATTTCTTGTGTCGAAGCGTTAAAAATGTTACAGAAAGCCTATGGTAAGTGGTGCCTATCAAAAACGCAAACATACGAATGGTGCAAGACATTTAAAGAGGGCTGAGAAGAAGAGCAAGATTTGTCGCGTGCCGGCCGACCGTCAATGGTTTCGACTGACGAATACATCGAAAAGATAAAAAAAAATGGTCATCGATAATCGTCGCCTGAGTGTTAGAGAGATGGCTCATGAAGTGGAAATGCCTTACATGTCTCTGTATAACATTTTAACTGAAGTTTTGGGCATGAGACGCGTCGCTGCACGACTTGTTCCGAAGGAGCTGAATTTTCTGCAAAAATAACATCGAAAAGCAGTTGCTGAAGACATGATTTCACGAGCTTCCAGTGACTTTACCTTCATGAAACGCATCATAACCGGTGAAGAAACATGGGTTTATGAGTACAATATGCAAACAAGTCAACAATCTTCGGAATATCGCTTAGAAAATGAACCAAACCCTAAAAAACCGCGTCAAAGTCGCTTGAAAATTAAGGTCATGCTCACTGTTTTCTTTGATTATCGTGACGTTGTTCATTCGGAATTCCTTCCAGATGGACAAACAGTAAATAAAGAATATTATTTGAGCGTCATGAGACGCTTGCGTGAAAATATTCGTCGGAAACAGCCAGATGCGTGGAAAAACAATTCTTGGATCCTGCATCACGATAATGCTCTGCCGCACACATTGATCTTGTTACGCAAATTTTTGACCAAGAACTCAACAAATGTGATCGAACAAGCACCGTATTCACCAAATATGGCCCCCTGTGACTTTTTCTTATTTCCGAAACGCAAATTACACCTTCGGAGAAGGCGTTTTGAGTCGTTAGAGGCCATAAAAGAAAATTCGCAGAAGGAGCTGAAGGCGCTACATTCTTCAGCGTTTAAAAAGTGTTTTGAAGACTAGGAGAAGCATTGGCGTATGTGCATTGCTTCTGATGGGACCTACTTTGAAGGCGACAAAATAAATTTGGATGATTAAGTAAGCAATTTGAGTTTTATTTGCAAATTCTGGGTACTTATTTTACATAACGTAGATTGCAATAGTTTAACGATTTACATATATCGTTAATTATTGTGAAGTTAGCTTCAAATAATGTGGAGATAAGATGTTAGAAAAATGGACGAGCATTCTTCTCAGGCACTGTTTAGGTGTTCAGTCATCGTCTACTGAAACAAGGGTTGTAAATGTTCGAGCTCGTCGGATTGTTTCGTTGCGTCGCGTCGCATAGTGTCCAGCAATGGACAAAAATCAAAAAACTAAAGTCGATGTTTTATAAATTCTTATATCCCGAAATGTTAATAAAGGAACATAGATTTTAACACTATCCATAACTAATTTACCAATTTGTTGTGGAAAATGATGCCACAAATTTATTGCAATTTTCGGTGCATTTTCTTAAACATGTGTCATTTACCGAAAATTTGTGTTTTTAATTTGATTTTTACAAGTTGTGTACACTATTATAGTACTTTTTTACATTTTTTATGTTAAATGTTTATCAACTTTGAATGGAGTTTAAAAAAAAATACCAAAAAATACCTCCATGATTTTTTGCATATTAATTTAGGGCACATTAAACTTTAATTTAACGCCAATTTTAGCTGCTCGAATTTGCCCGAAACAAAGAAAATGATCAAAATCATTATTGCAATTACTGATACCTTCTCCGAATCAGAATCAGAATCGGAATTAATCTAAT